GTTGTGGAGGCTCCATCCCTAGAGGTGTTTAAGTCTCGGCTTGACAAAGCCCTGGCCGGGTTGATTTAATTGGGATTGGTCCTGCCTTGGGTAGGGGGCTGGACTTGATGGCCTTGTAAGGTCTCTTCCAGCTCTATGGTTCTATGATTTACCTGTGCTGGCACAACCAGGGAATCAGACCTCACCAGACCCAGGACAGACACAGCGCTGCCAGCAAGTCTGTTGTGTAGACAGGGCCTCCGCTATTCTTGGCACTGCACACTCCTTTCTTAAAGAGAAAGAGGTAGCTCCTGCTAGAAGATCTACTCTTGTGCGGGAAATAGGACTTGACACAAATGCTCTCCCACCCCATGTGTTTTGGCCTTAAAGCGGGGGTGGGCAATAATTGTTATGGGGGGGGCTCTTCGATGATATTAATGGAGGGGGTGCAAGGTCTGGGATGGAGGTTGGGTGCAGAAGGGAGGACTGAGATGCAAGAGGGAGTGTTTGGCAAAGGAGGGGGTTGTGCCCTGGGACAGGGAATTGGGGTGCAAGAGGGGTCTTGGAGGAGGTTTGGGTGCAGGAGTGGATTCTGACTGTGGGAGAGGTATAAGAGGGGGTTCAGGGTCAGGTACATTTTAAATTTGATTTGTTGGGGTTCTTTTATTCCTATTCTCTCCAGATTTTGTTTGCTCCAATTATTTTAATTGGCTTGGTGATGTTCCTTATGTGATGATGATGATGATGATGATGATTATGACGATGATGATGATGATGATTTACAACATCATCATGTGTACATTGTGATTTCCATGAGAACTTTTCTAATAAATAATTCTGTTCTGACACTGCTTGTCACACTCGGTTTTGCATCTAAAACTACAAGCTGCACCAAGCCCAATCATGAATTCATGTGGCAATTATCTTAAATATATGCAAAAGATACATATTGGCTACATATATTTTTCCACAGAAAAGCCATATACACATCAAATTTCAAAATATTTTCATATGAATTAAATATTTGGAATGTGTTCTTATATTTCATGGCAACATATAAAATATATGTGCATTGCTTTTTTAAACCCAAAATGATAATCTTCCACTGTAGCTGGAACTGCACCAGTCATTTAGGAATCTGTTCATTTTTAAAATCTCCATCACAGAATATCTTTTTGTTAAAATGCTGGCTATTAAAGTGCTACATTAGAGAAAGCTACCCCAGCAGAATATTAGTGAATTTTTTACATATGTTTATCTTGTACAAATAAAATACTTAGACCACAGTTATTACACCGTGAAACAAAATATTTGCAGCTGTAACAACAAAGTTTTGTTGGTGTGCAGCAGATCACCTAGGGGTTGATTTTCAAAGCACAAGTGATGAGTTAGATATCTAATTCCTATTGAAAGTCAATAAGAAATGAAACCAAGGCCAAATTTTCAAAGGAAATCAGGAACCTAATCATACAGATGATCCCTAGAGAGATCTTCTAAGGTCCCTAGGCATCTAACTCCCATATGACTCATATGTTTGAAAATCAGTCCCATAATTTCCGTCTGTACAGTTCAAGTATCTCCCACTAGTTTATCACCAAACTTCATGGTAGAAGCTATCTGCTTTTCCACAAATATAATAAGGAGTAGAAATGTTGAAATCCTGTGCTCAGTTTATTGGAGATTATAGTGGATGAGAAGTTGGATATGAGTCAACAGTGTGCCCCAGTAGCCCAGAAGGCTAATGGGATATTAGTAGGAGCGGCTCTAGGGAAGTAATTATTCCCTTTTATTTGGCACTGGTGCATCCACATCTGGTGTATTGTACCCAAATATGAACTCCCAATTACAGAAAGGATGTGGACGCATTGGAGAGGGTCCAGCAGAGGGCAACTTAAATGATTAGGGGGCTGGATCAAATGATTTCTGAGGAGAGGCTGAGGGATTTGGGTTTATTTAGTCTATAGAAGAGAAGAGTGAGGCCACTCTAAAGAGTGGATTTGATAGCAGCCTCCAACTTCCTGCAGGGTGGTTCCAAGGAGGCTGGAGCAAGGTGTTCTCAATAGTGATGGATGGCAGAACAAGGAGTAATGATCTCAAGATACAGTGGGGGAGGTCTTAGTTGGATATTAGGAAAAACTTTCCCTAGGAGGGTGGTGAAGCACTGGAATGGGTTACCTAGGGAAGTGGTGGAGTCTCCATCCCTAGAGGTGTTTAAGTCTCGGCTTGACAAAGCCCTGGCCGGGTTGATTTAATTGGGATTGGTCCTGCCTTGGGTAGGGGGCTGGACTTGATGGCCTTGTAAGGTCTCTTCCAGCTCTATGGTTCTATGATTTACCTGTGCTGGCACAACCAGGGAATCAGACCTCACCAGACCCAGGACAGACACAGCGCTGCCAGCAAGTCTGTTGTGTAGACAGGGCCTCCGCTATTCTTGGCACTGCACACTCCTTTCTTAAAGAGAAAGAGGTAGCTCCTGCTAGAAGATCTACTCTTGTGCGGGAAATAGGACTTGACACAAATGCTCTCCCACCCCATGTGTTTTGGCCTTAAAGCGGGGGTGGGCAATAATTGTTATGGGGGGGCACTCCAAGAACTTGGTAAGTGGTCAACGGCCACACTGTTCTATGGAGGGGGTGCAAGGTCTGGGATGGAGGTTGGGTGCAGAAGGGAGGACTGAGATGCAAGAGGGAGTGTTTGGCAAAGGAGGGGGTTGTGCCCTGGGACAGGGAATTGGGGTGCAAGAGGGGTCTTGGAGGAGGTTTGGGTGCAGGAGTGGATTCTGACTGTGGGAGAGGTATAAGAGGGGGTTCAGGGTCAGGTATGGAGGTTGGGTGCAGAAGGGAACTTGGAGAAGGGGATTGAGGTGCAGGAGGTGGTGCGGGGATTCGGGTGCAGGAGTAGATTCTGACTTGAGGGAGGGGCTAAAAGAGGGAGTGCAGGGGCTGGGAGAGAGTGTGACCGGGGCAGGGGTGCAGAGGGCTTGGGCTCTCACCTGAGGCAGGAGGTTAGGAGCGGGTGGATTCCAGATTCCTGGCCAACGGCCCAGTGGGACCCTCGGGCTGGCTCCCCAGCTGCTGCATCCCTGCTCAAAGTGGCAGGCTGCTGGGGCCAGCATGTGCGTCTCTGCTCCTGCACACTTGCCCCTCCTGGGGAGCCGTTGGCTATTACAGGAGGGGATAGTGCTGACCACAGCCAGGTATGCTGTAAGCAGGTGGTCTCCAACCAGTAGACCATCATCTACTGGTAGATCTTGGAGCCTCTGACTGGTTTGGCTGGGAGGCACTTCAGCTGCCCCTCCCCACATTGCCTTGCTGCTCCTGCCCAGAGCCTCAGAGCCCCTGGGAGCCTCCCACTTGTTGTGCAGAGTGGGGGAGACAGAGGCAGAGGAGCACTGATGTCACTCTGTCCCCCTCCCCAGAGTGAGGAGGGCTGGGCATGGTGAAGGGGTGAGTCAGGGGTATTTGGGTTTGACAAATTCAAAATGTGATCTTGTGCTTAAAAAGATTGGAGACCACTGCTGTAAGCAGAAGCTGGGCAAGTCACCCAGCGACCCAGAGCCAGCGCTGTGGCATCCCCCGCAGAGGAAGTGGTCACACTGCTCACATGCAATAGCAGCCAGGGCCCCAGAACAGGATTACACAACTCCCACGGGCTCTGCAAATCTGACCCATTGACTATTCCTTGTCGCCTCCAAACACAGGGTCAGTCAGACCATGAGCATTTTGGAAAAGCCCACCAGCCAGCTCTATAGTAACTCAGAGCTCGGGCTGTTATGCGTATAAGAAGCACCTGGGATCTTTTTCAGGGGGAAAGGCAGTACGCCGTGCTTCTCAATAAAACAGTAGGAAAAGCAGCATAGGCACTTACCCACACACAGGTCCTGCAGATGAGTTATAGTTACCAGTCAGTCGGGGCTCAAGTCAATCTTATTGGCCAAGTAAGGATGAGCATCAGTGAGGAGTCAGAGCTCATCAATGATGAATCGAGGCTCCGTCAAGGTATGGCTTGTGGGACTGAACCCAGAACCTTACGGCAAGAATGCTCCCTCTTATACTTGTGAGATCTCATGTGAGTCTTTTTGCAGTGTCATGCTGCAGTGTTTCATATGTTAATCTTGGGGGTTTCCCTGCAGTTATCCTTTGAAATTTATGGCCCGGCTTCATTATCTAATTTGTTGGCTCATCTTGGGGAGCGTCTGCCTGTCTCCAGCACTTGGCTATTCTGCTAAATCAGGGCTAC